GGTCTGACACAGACCCCTGTGGCATATCCCGCATCTATGACCCTTTACGTTCTTGCCAACAGAATTCTGATTTTTGCTCAGGAACCTACCTCTCAGGGAAAGTGACCTTAACCCCATTACAGCATATCTGGATTATTCTAAACCAATTATGGTAATCTCATTCCTTTTGCTTGTGACTAGTTTAAGCGTAGGCATGTGGCCTTCTCGCCAATGGAACATGAAGGAAGTTAGCTAAGAGAGCAGAGGGGAGCTTTGGGAAGAACTTTATTCATATAGATAGTACTTAAGAACGAGATACTAGAGCAATTTACGTCTATCTCTGAATACTATCAGCACAGGAGTACCTGAAGTGCTCCGATGCTCCATTTACATTTCTGAATTCCCCTTCCTCAAAGAATTTCACCTTTAGGCATTTGTTTCACTATCTTGTCAGCTCTTCGTTGACTTCACAATGATTAAAAAATAAATCTCATTCAGCAAGGTTTTAAAAAATTCAGTCAGAATAACCTAATCTGTCATTAGCAAACATGGAAGTCTCCTACACTGGTTTCTAAAATGAACTAGGATTGCCTTATTTCGAGAATTTTATATATAATATTTAAAAACTTCTTTGTAACAGTAATTTTTCTACTGCATACCTAGGCTGTCTAGTTGTAGCTGTGTACTGTGCCACGAGCCACCTGTGGCTATTCAAATCTCAATGAATTGAACTTAAAAACTGTATTCTTTAGTTGCACTAGCCACATTTCAGGAGCTCAGTGGTCAATTTGGCTAGTGGCTACCATACTGGGCAGTGCCCATGCAGAATATTTCCATTATTGAAGAACGTTCTCTTGATAGTGCTAGGCTAGATTATATGTTTTAAAAGTTTAAATTTTCGCACATTAGACTGTATTTTATACAACTTACACAATTATGCTCAGACAGCTATATTAACCTGGATAGCATGAGAGTAAAGTTCATCGTGGCAAATGAATTGCCTCAAATTCTGAACGAGTAATATCCAGAATAATGGGGAAAATTATTTTTATATCCAGGATATGGTCATGTTAACTGTATCTCCTTATCATTTTCTAAAAGCTGAATCTGAAAACAAAGGTAGAAAAAAGAAATTTCAACCCACCAATAACAAGCTCTACAATTTGAACATCTAGAATACAGTTCATTAAACAAGCCTAAGACACCTGGCATGTTTTTTTTTCCTTATTCTGTTACCTGTCATATATTATTCACACTATAAAGTGCTTGTATTGTTAGGTTGAAAGTAAGTGCCCATCCCTGCGATTGTATAACAATGGCAATTGAGATCGGAATTCAGAGGTGGGTTTGGTGGTCTCATTCCTACCTAACACAGTCTAATGTATATTATAGTAAGTACTCAATTTTTCTGCCCCTGTATAAAACTGCTATTCTTTTGACATTCATGTTATTCATCAAAGTAACTATCTGGCTTCACCACTGCTTCCTACAAATCTCATGGTGGTCATTTACCCTCATTTATTAAAAAAGTCTGATACCTGGTTTGCAGTCCCACAATATACTCCCAGTTCTAGCATCATGCTGGGTGACTTCAACATCTCCAGGGAAGACTTTTCAAACTACCCAGCCCTGACATTCCTTAAATTCCTTCGCCTCTGCTCAAGGTCAGGCAAGCACTACCATGGCCACACTCCAGATCCTACATCACTGAGAACAGTCTCACTTCTCACAGCTTCAACTCTAACCCATTCCATTCTCTGATCCCCTCATCTGCTATCTCCCTCACCCTGCCTTTCCTACAATACTAATTCTCTGACTTTGTAACTTTTTTAGAAGTTACATTCTTAATTTTGTCCCTCTTAGCCCTCTTTAGACTCCACTGCCATTTTTAACATATAACTCATGGCTCAGCCCTTCAGTTGTTCATACCACTACCCTTAAATTCTCCTTGATTAGATTGTTGTTTTGTTTTAATCTTGGCTTTCTCCAATCCATTCTCATCTAAAGCACAAGTCTAAATCTTTCAATGGTTTCTTCCTGTCTCAGGACAAAGATCATGCTCTTTAACCTCCACAGCTTGCACTTAATTTTCCTTCTGCCTCAAATGCCCTTGTCATTTTCTTCTTGTCTGATCAGCTTCTATTTGCCCTACAGATTTTTAGCTTCCTATGGGAAGTAATTCCTAAATCCCTACTTAGGCCATGTGCCACTTCTACTTGCTTTTGTAGTATCCCATACTTACTCTAGCATATATCTCATTATATCATATCATACCATATCATATCATCATATCATATCATATCATATCATCTCTGTGTTGTAATTTTCTGCATGTATAATTTCACAGGAAATTGTAAGATCCTTGAGGGCAGAGATTCTTTCTCACTCTATCACAGTCTGATATTCACTACACACTCAATTATTTGTTGAACGAATAAAAGAATAATACCAGTAATTTGAAAAGGTCATTGTAATGGAAACTAATTTGCTTACTTCAAGATCCAAATTTAACAGGATTAAATATGATATATAAGCTATAGAGTGTGTAGAAGGATGGTAGGGGAAAACAGAACAGAATAAGGAAGATTAGGGGTACCAGGGTTGAAGGAGGCAGGGTGGGTTACAATTTTAAGTATGGTATTCCACCTATACCTCACTGAGAAGGGGACAGTTAGGTAAAGGTAAGAGAGTTGGCCATGTAGATATTTCGGAGAAGAACATACAAGGCAAAGGGAAAAGATGTAAAGTCTCTAAGTTAAGAACATGCATGGCACATGCAAGCTGAAGCAAAATGAATGAGGAGGAAATAGTAAGAATTCAGAAAAGTAATGTAGGGCCAAATTGTGTAGGCCTTGCAGGCCTTTGCAAGGACTTAGAGTTAAGTAAGAATGGAGAGCCATAGAAGGGCTCTGAGTAAAGGATATAACTTGGTTCACTTTGACTGCTACATTGAGGAATGTAGGGAGCAAGAGGAGCATGGGGAAATGCACTGGAAAAGCCATTTAGAGCAATTCAGTGAAAGAGGTAGCAGTGGCGGCAGTGGGAAGTGGTCAGGTCTATAATATATTTTGAAGGGAAAGGCAATGCAATTTGCTGAAGAATTGGATATGTAGGCTGTGAGACAGAGAAAGGAATCAAAAATAACTCAAGAGTTCGGAGCTTGAGCCATACAGAGTTGACATCTGAGATGGGAAAAACTGTTTGGAGAACAGGTTTGTGAAAATATTTTAGAAATAACATGAGGATGTGTGGAATATTAGATATCTATTAAAAGTCTAGTCGATAAGAAGATATGAGTGTAGTATCCAAGGAAGAAGTCAGCTAAAAGTATAAATCTGGGGGTCAAATCACATATGAATGGCATCAAAAGCAATGAGAATTGATGAGATCACAAGGAAATGAGTATTAGTAGGGCAGAGAAAAAGGCCAAGGGCTGAGTCCTGGGTGCTCTAACACAAGTGACATATGATTTCACTCATATGTGGCATCTAATGAACAAAATAAACTAATAAAGTAGAAACAGACTGATAGCTGTCAGAGGGAAGGGAGATTGTGGGGCTGTGTAAAAAAGGTGAAGGGATTAAGGGAAAAAAAACCCTAAAAAACCCTCATAGACACAGACAACAGTATGGTGATTACCAGAGGGAAAGGTGGAGAGAGGGGAGAAAGAAGAGAATAAAGGGAGGATAAGTGGTGATAGAAGGACTCTTGACTGGGGGTGGGGCACACACAATACGATATACAGATGATGTAATATAGAATGGTACACCTGAAACCAATATCAACCCAATAAATTTCATTTAAAAAAAAGAAGAGGTCAGAGAAAAGAGTAGAATCCAGCAAAGGGGAATGAGAAAGAAGTAGTAAAACAAAAGAGCAACTAAAACATTATAGTGTCATGGAAGCCTAGTGAGGATCAAGTAAGAAAAACACCATCCCTTCAGAATCAACTACTGGATTTAGCAGTATGAAAGTCATCCATGATGTGACAGAAACATTTTTAGTAGAATGCTGCAGGCAAAAACTTGGGAGGAATAATTTTAGGAGAAAATGAGAAGCGGAATTAGATACAATATACACAATGTTTTTGAGGAATTTTGTTGCAGAAGAAGATAAGACATGGAAAAATAACTGGCTGGCTTTTTGTTTTTTCAAGATAGGAGAAATAACAACAGGTTTGCATGCTTATGGCAAAATCCAAAAGAGAAGATGGAGAAATTACCTACATACTCACGGAATATCCAAGACTTAAGACAGATGAAGGAATGAAGAGCGTGAGAATAAAGATCATGAGTAGGGTCTCGATGACGTGGAAGTGCTGTAAAAGCTGTGGATTTTAGGTAGGAGGGAGGACTATCTGGAGGAAGTAATGAGATCAAAGAAAACAGTCCACTTTCAGGCCCAGTCTTTCAAGAGCTAAGGGAGAAGCCACAGGCTCCCAACTTTAAAGAGCTACCGAGGAAGCAGTATCTTCAGAGGGGAGCCAGTTTCCATTAGAAGAAGAATGTGAAGGGAAGGAAAATGCAGAGACATCAGGGATTTTGTTGATGATGGACCACGAATTCCTGAGGGCAGAGAATAGTCTAAGCAGCTGGGCAGGGATAGGAAAGAGAAGAGAGGGTGTGCAGAGCTTTACGGGATTGGATAGCATAAATGAATCTGAGGCTTCTTGCAGTAGCAAATACAAAATGGGATGAAGAGCATAATCTTGATGCTCAAGAAAGAAAATGATGGAAAAGTCTGGGTGTTTGGGGGAGCAGGGCAGTTCGGGGGTGTGTGGCTCTCTCTTGATCCGAGTTGGTGGAGAGTGTATTTTCTCCTAGTGCTGGAACATCCTCTTGACTCCTGTCGATGGAAACGCTGGACCTGAGACTAGTTCCCTTCATTATCAAGCATTTCAAAAATTCATGTGACCATCACATGTGTGGACTTCTGATCAAATAGCATACAACTTTAAAAAATTTCCCCGCTTTGGGGGAAATGTAAACTAATTTTTAATAGCAGAGTTTGTTTTTACTTACATCTGTGTTACAAGAGCGATACCGTCTCCTTTCCCCGAGGCAATATTTTCCTCCTCCTGAAGGTCTGAAAACACATTTTATTTAACATGTGAATATAACATACTATCCACATTGAAAAGTACAAATATTGCTTGATGAAAACACATTAACATTTACTTTAAGAAAATACAAAATTTGACATTGAATTAGTTATCAAAATAATCATGCTGGTGATTGTTAGTAATAATGATTATGATTATTGAATGTTAAAATTAAGGCAATTTACTAGGAGTAACTTTACAAGACTCCTAATTGTCATGATTTACATTAAGAAAATGCAATTAAATCAATGTGTTTTCTAATTATCACAGTAAACAGGTGATTAGTTTGAGTTTAAAATTCACTTATTTATAATAAAAAGCCATTTAAATCATATTCAACAAAACCCATAATTGGATGGTATATGTTCACCAAGTTGGAAATGAAAAGTTTGCTTTTTTTCCAAAGTGGAAGTAGGAGAGGACATTAAACAACTCTCTGGAAATAGCTTCCATTCAAAGTAAATAATGCAGAAATGAATTTCTATCTTATTTCAAATACATGGTTTAAAAAAATTAAATCTATATATCAGATGGGTTTGCACTATATAAATACTTTATATAACACTAAAATTTAAAAAATTTAAGATGTCAAATATTTGATTTCCATAAATTACTTTTAAAGCATTTGACATTAGGGAAAGCCATATGTTATTATTTGAATAATATTTTTGAATACTAACTTGTTCTTTTAAAAGAGGTCTGGTCATTCTCTTAAATATCTGGGTATATTATTTATTATTATAGGGTTTTATAATTTTGGTTATTATTTTACAGTAGCCTACAGTTGAACTTAGGTTAATTATTCTGTACTTGTTTTAAAAAGGCCATTTCTAAATTATAACTCTGGCTCACTGGAATCAACAGGATAGTTACAATTGTGAATGCCAGTGCATGCTGACTCTAAGCGAGGAAAAGGCCTGGCCTGAACTGGCTGGGGAGAAATGGGTTGGTGGGAAAAACTAGGTAGTGGGGGCAGCAGTAGCATGACTGATGTCCGGGTGGGGGGGTGCGGTGGGGATGACAGTGAGCGAGCTCAGTTCAGTAGGAGGGTAAAAATCAAGAGAGTGGGAGAATGAAAACACAGAACTAATTAATATCAAGAGAAACAATATCAAACTAAAAAAAATAAGAAAGAGACATTTAGGGAGAGGAACCAAGGAGGGGGATCCTAAGTTAAAATAAGCTTTCAATTAGCAATAATCAAACCTTGGATAAACCTCACTGGCCATGATACTGCCACTGCACAAAGCTCAGAGTTAAAATAAGAAAAAATAAAATAAAAACAGACCATCTTTTACCCCAGAATGGGGTGAGGGAAAGCAGAAATGATATCATAACATCATTCTGCATGAAAATATTTATCTGGAAAGAAGGCCCTCAACCTGAGCTCTAGATAAAAATGGGAGCCCTTGACCTGCAGCTGCTAAGCAGCAGTTTCATCTCCAGAAGGACAGGATGGACCAAGTAGAGGAACGGTCCACCTGTAATGGGCAAAGAACAGTGATGGGACTGGCCTCCCGCCAGGGGGACTCTGGCTGGAGAAGAAGGTGGTGGGAGAGGGGCAGTCTGACCTGCATAAAACAGTCACGGGAAGAAAAGTGGTGGCAACTCTGGAAGATGATTAATGGGGGCATGTGAATGGAAACTATTTTAACACATGGACAAGTATTCTTTTCATTGTGATTTGTGATGTGAATCAAGGCATTTCAACCCTTGAAGTGCTCTCATTGGTCCTTTTAATACTAATGTAGCAGTAATAATTTTATATGACATGTGAAAAGACCTTAGGTTTCCTGGGAATAATGGTAATGTAGCTAAGACCAGACCTGGATTCATCCATAATTCAGTAGTTTTGGGAGGAGGAAATCTGATTATTAGCAGATTAAGAAGTCTGGCTATACCTGGGATAAATACACAATACTTTTCTTTTTTCACTTTCTTTTATTTTTAGTTACATACTAAGGGGCGAGGAAGAAAAAGAAAGCCTGTCTAACAAGGCTCCTCCACTTTCCTATGCCTAGCGCTTGTTCCGAAGACAAGCGCTTGGCTCGAGAGTGAAACGTTTTTACAGATAACATGTGAAACCACAGCTTTGAATCATTTCCAACTGTGTCTTTTTGTTGGCTCCGGCTTACTTTAGCTACTTACGCTGGACTGTCACAGTGTCTTAGGGATGAGGAGACGCCTCCCCCGCAGGTCCTGCTGCACTCTCCCCAGAGTGACCAGGCACCCCAGCCCCCATCTACGCTCTGGGGCCAAGTGCCAAAAGCAACACAATCTCCCTGATAACACCACTGCAAGATTTCACAGAAAACACAGAATTAGCTTTCAGGCAGATAGAGCTATCGGAATAGAAATACATAAGGGTCAGGCAATGACCAATTACAGACATTAGCATTCTCCCCACAGATACCAGACTGAGAGTTCTTTAACTGTGTTTACACATTGGTGATGGTGCATGTGATTTGCAAATTATCTTTAGCTCAGAAGTGATTTTTAAATCTCTAACATGTACCAGGACTCTAAAAATCCCCTTATTTCACCTACCCCAGACTTTTAGTGTTTCTCAATTACAGAGACCTCAAAAGTCTTTTTTAGATATTTTAGTATTAAACTTTTTTCTTTATATTCCACTATTATTAGACTCGTGGAATGATAACGCAATATGGAAAGTTCCCCAGTAAGGAATTTTTATGATGGTAATTGCCTTTTCTTTTTAAAAAAATTAAAAGGCTGGTTGAGGCTACAATAGTAAAAGAATGTGTTGCAGCATTTCATCTACACAAGTACTGCAGACATAATAAAAGTCATGCCAAGACACTAGGGACTGGGTACAAAAAAACCCTTGTACACCCTGACTAGCCGTGCGCATAGCCCCCGCAGGAGCATGCGCACTGGAACTCTTCTCGGCTTTACTCTCCGCAATAAACCACACATGCTGCACATAAGTAGAAAGCCAGGAATAATTCATCGAGACACAGACATCAAATAATCAGCTCATAACTATAACATGATAAATCTTACTTGCAGAATATAGTAAAAATGAAAGCCTTTTTAAAAAAACAAACAAGCATTTCTAGGCTTTTACTGGTGCATTTTTGTGAATTACCATCAAATGTTGACAAACCATACCAATGCTATGAAAATCATTTGTTTATATGAATAACAATTGGCAACATTACAGCTGAGTAACTGTCAGCGATGTCAAAATTGCTAATAAAACTTCAACCTTATATTAAAACATAGAGGGATTATGACATGCAATGTTTAGAAAGTAATCATTTTATTATACTAATTCTATATGACCAGAATTTTTTCACTTTTCACCTTTTTCACTGTTACCTCCTGGCAAATGGAATAGCTTCTTACCTGGGCTCCCTACCTCCACTGTTTTCTACCTGTAATCGATCTCTTCTCCTCCAGGAAGCATTCAGAGGGGTCTTTAAAAAACAGTGATGACATCATGTCTCTTTTTTGTACCAGAGAAGACTCTGGTGTTTCCTACTTCCCTTAGCACTGGTCAGCAGTGGCCGGTGGGAACTACTCCTGCACCCTTCCCCAGCCTTACTCTCTCTCAGATCGCCCCAGACACATTGGACTTCTTTCCTTCCCACGAACACTAAATTTGCTCCCTCCGTAGGGCACTTACATCTGCTGGTCCTTCTGGGAATACTCTTCTCAGGATTCCTTACATTTGCTGTCTTCTTATCATTCAGTCCCTGGTCAAGGGTCATGGCCTTGACCACTCCTGTCCAGAACACTTCCTGTCCTCCCCTCCCTCAACTCCAGGATGTAAGTTTTAGTTCACACTACTTTAAATTACACTGTTTACTTTTCAAATCACTTCATTATTGTTTGTCTCCTCTCATTAGTATATAAAAGCCTTAAGTGCCACAGGGGACTATTCAAATTTAAATTAATCAGCACTAATAATTCAGTTCCTCATACACACTAAGTACATTTCCAGGGCTTCATAAGCCATATGTGCCGTGATGATGTGGGACAGAGCAGATCTAGCCCATGTCTGTCACCACGGAATGTTCCATCAGATGTGTGGAATGTCTAGAACAGCGCTTACTTAGCATGGAGTAGATAAGCAACAAAAACTCATTGGATGAATTAATACATGAGTTCAGTTTCAGAATTCTGCATCCTGTTTTGGTTACTACATGTCAGGAAGGAACTGGAAATATTGGAGGGTAAAGAGAGTCAAATTTATCTTTGTTTCCCTGGTAGTTAGCACTCAGTAAATGTTTTAGTAGTTGTAACAACATAAAAGACTTTTTAGAGAAGTGCTAAGCAATTATCATTTGTCCATAAAAGAAAATTGGGCAAGAAGAACTCCAATTTTGGTTGGCTATATGGCAGAACATTCTGAGCCTTAACCTAATAAGTATTAAAGTAGAACATTAAGAAAGATTATGAGTTTTGACAATGAAAATTACCGTAAAAATAATCTGTCTAAAAGATGAAGCAGAGGTAGTTGGCTGAACCCAAACAATACAGTATCAACTCTGGGAGTAGGGCTGCTGATAATGTACACTTGAAAGGGACAGAATGTTCTAGCTGCCAGTTTATGACTTAATTGATGTTGAAGACCAACCAATTCTATGACAATTGTGTCAGACCTTCACCTTTATAAAAGTTACAATATTGGACCAAATAACTTCCAGTTTTACATTTTGGTTATTAGAAGTACCTATGTGTAAGAATGTCTATGCTTTTGCCTACTTTTTTTTCTATGAGAATAACTGAACAAAGTAGTATTGACCAGTCATACTGATTTGGGCTGTGTCAATGAATGACTATACTTCTAAAAACTCCAAATCTTAAAATTTGTCTACTTTTTCAAGTTGGAAATCTACCTAGCATGTTGATTTCAAATGACATTAAAGCTTGTTTTTATATTTTATAAAACCATGGAGCTGCATCTAAAGCCCAAAGGGACTTAAGCATTCATGTGATCCAAGCACTTCATTTTTCAGATGAGGAAACCAGAGCCTAAAGCAGGTTGACTTGCCCAAGGTCAGTTACTGGCAGAAAAGAAGGGGTTATCTGTCTAAAAATATACAAAAATCAGTGGAAAAAGATCTATTGGAGCCATTAAGTAATATTCTAACATATTTTATGGGACTGTATTTACTACATAAAATACAAAATAACACTAGAGACTACAAAAAAATCCATTTAGCTAGAAGTGCACACCCATGTGTCGTTTCACACCTCCTTGGGTCCTCTTACAACTGGTAGAGGAAAAAATTCACTCTCTGTGTTTTTCAGGGGCCAAAGGAATTGTGAACGCCATCAGAACACTGACAGATACAGGTTCCAAAGTATTTAGTAACATTGTTGTATGTTTCCTGGAGACTCACAAAGTGTAGGACAAGGAAAGAAGTCAAATGAGTTCTGTTGTTTTCCTTTTAAAACTTATCCTTAAGGTAAAAGCCAAATACAATACAGTAGGATTTTGTTTATAAAATGTTGCTCAATTCTTATGACTATTTAACATCTACACAGCAGTGGTATTTCATAACTAGTATGTGAAAATGTTTTAATGCATAAATTCACACTATTGATTATATGTATTCCATGCAGTTATAACATAAGAGACAATTATATGAGAAAGCTAGTCCTTCCTTTCTCACTCCCTGGCCATCTTGGAGGTTACGCTTGGTTGGGGTCTGTCCCCCACCTAAGGCAGGAAGATGGTGACTGCAAAGAAGATGAAAAAGTTGCAGGAGTTGATCAACTCTAGACTCCGGCTTGTTATGAAAAGCAGAAAATACATGCTGGGGCACAAGCAGACCCAGAAGCTGATCAGACAATGCAAAGCCAAATTGGTCATCCTTGGTCCAGCCTTGAGGAAATATGAAATAGTGTACTATGCCGTGTTGGCCAAGACTGGTGTTCATCACTATGGTGGCAATGATACCGAATGGGCACAGTATGTGGAAAATACGACAGAGTGTGCACGCTGGCTGTCACTGATACAGGTGATTCTGATGTCATTAGCAGCATGCCAGAACAGACTGGTGAAAAGCAAATCATGCAAAAGTTTTCTTTAATAAAACTGGCCAGAGCTTGGTTTAAGAAAAAAAGAAAGTTAAATAACAAAGATTAATGGGCAAAAAATAAAGCGTTTATAATAATACTTATATTCATCTACCAATTGACAAGAGACTAGTGTCTAGTTTAACAACTAACTAATAACTTGGCTTACTAGTTAACAAGTTAACAACTTCAGGCTGTGTGTAGTCTGGGTTATAAACCTGAGTTCTCATTCTAACAATACCTTTGATCTAAAGCAAGTCATTTATTTCTTTTCTTTAGTTTCCCTAACTATAAAATGGGGACTAACTTTAGTTTTCAATTTCAATATGGTTTAGATTAGGGCAACTTTAGACGTTATCTCTATGCAGACATACCTTCAGAGAGGTTAAAAACCTATCAAAGGACTTGTTTTGATTTTGCTCTCTGGCAAAATGTTCTTTTGTGTTTTGTTCAACCTCCCCCACCATGTCTTTGTAAGAATGGATCTCTTTGGAATTCTTGCTACTTCGCTCCTCTGGCAGTAGTATCTTGATGTAGCACATGATTTTAAAAGAAGAAATTTATTTCACTTAATAGTAACTGCTTGAAGAAATCCATCAAGGACTTCTTGGGGAGCAAGTTATTTGAGCCAATTTTCTATATGATTATATGAATCAATATATACTGATTTTAATATGTCATAAGTAATATAATTAGATTATATCAAATATAGCAACTTGAAGTATATAAATCTTATAAATTCATAAAGGTGAGAATTTTGAGTATTATATTTTCTATTTTTATCCTTTTTTTTTTGCCTGAAATTACCAAACCTTTAAAAGCTCTGTTTCCATAGGAATAGAATTTTACTTTTTTTCTTAAAAGTAGAAGAGTTAAATCTTCAGATGGGAACAAGTTTCTAATCTTTATTCTCAAAGGTTATAGCTAATGTAGTGATGTATTCTAAATATCAGTCATGTTACTTCAGCCCAAATTACCCAAGTAAATTGGATAAATTTGCCTTCTCTTTGCTAATTCAAGAGTTTAACCAGATTTAGAAAGGTGAAAAGTAAAACTATCACATTCCAAGAATAAAGTCTCAGATTATTCATTTTTGCTTTTCATATTCCCTCTAAGTAAAACAAATATATTTTTAAATGACCTAGAAAGACAATATATTCCAGCGAAGCTTTAAAAGTGTTCTTAAGAAATAATTATTAAGCAACATCTCTTGCTATTAGACCATTGAATTTTAGGATCCACATCAGGAAATTGTCTTACCAATATACATTATAAATCAACAAGTCTAACTTTGAGAATTTGTCAGAATTCCACAAAAATTTTTCAGGATGAGTATACTTTAAAAATATGCTTTAATTTTTAAATATTTAAAACATACATATTTTTTAACTAGAGTCACTCTGGGATGTGACTGTACCAGAGATCTTGTTCCATCGCCAGCTCTAGGTCCAGCCAGCATCTGGAATGAGACCTCTAAGGAAACCCTAAGATTGTAAAGGAAGTGATATTGGTGATTCAATACAAAACATTCTTCCCAAGTCAGGAAAGCTAAAAGTTGGAGCACAGCACTATTAAAAGCCTTATCTTTCCACTCTGCAGGTGTGGGAATGCTGAGGCTTATTTCAGCCCAAATTCTAAATGAGAACTTGTCATCCCATAATATTCAAATTCCTAGAGCAATTGGAAGAGCTATTCTTTTCTTTACTTCCTGTGTTTGGGACCCAGTCAAAATATGTTATATTCTACTCTGAGATCTAAGACTGCTAATGTCCTATTATATCCTGTGCTTTAGAAAGGCATATAATAACCCTACACTGATCCAGCCCTATGTATCCCATACAAAGATATTGGGAACAAATGTCATATATATGTAAGTCCAAATGCTGCACTATATCTCTAATTAGGTCTTGTAGAATCATTAAATCAATCTTCTGGCAACAAACCAAGTATTGGAAACTTTCTTTGTGGTCACCATCAGAGCTTGCAAGAACTGGGTTTTCGTTATCCTTAATATCCTGTTCAGTAACAATGCCAACACTGGTATCAAAATTTTTACAGCCTAAATCTTTGTTTACTATGTCATCAAATATGGCATCCCTTTGATGCCTGTCCAAAGTGGTGTTGCTGATGCCATGTGTAAAGAAAGTTTTTTGGCTTGAAGTTATATTGATTGATTTGTAGGGGTCTGACCCATGGACGCGCCGTACCAACCAGCGCACTGTCTGGGCTCATCAAATTTCCTCCTTTGGTTAATGCTACTGTCCCTAAGCACATCCATTCAGACCATATGGTTCTTATTCAATCTTTGAATGGCTTATTCAGGCAAACATCCAATGGCTGTAAGAGCGATGTCAGACCCCCCAGGACTCACACAAAGATCAGTTTTTAATTTTTTGGCCATATTTCTTACTCCATCTGCTAAATGTGCATGGAACAGTTCCCATACTTACATGGAACATTTGTGGAACTGCGCCCTCGGGCAGGGATCCCACGGCTTTTGCAGCCAGAGTTTGACGAGATCATTGCGGATCCAGTGCTCTGGACATGTCTATGCTATCACTTAAGCAAAACTTATCCCTCCACCATTTAAAAGAGAATTTACTCAAAAAAACTATGAGCAGCTTTGGTTTTATCCTCCTGGCTAGACAGGATGTAGGTTCTTTCTTGGTTCTTCTGATGAGAGTACTTTTGAAAATTTGAGTTAACAACAGAAGTCATGTATATTCCATTCATGTTTCTGAGGCATGCGAATTCATGCTTATACTCTCTGATGCTTGTTACTCCCAGTTAAGACAGCCTGACAAGACATTTTCTGCCCACAATCATCTAAAGTTGGCAAATAATAATAAAAAATAATGGTGATGCTCTACTAGTATACACTAGTGCCCCCCTCCGCAGAATGCCACGAACAGTGAACTCTGCGGTGTTATCGCATTCATCCTCACAACGGCTCTATGGAACATGTAGAAATAGGTTTTCCCCAACGGTAAAGTGGAGGTTCATTACTTTGCCAATTGCAACACAATCCTATATTCTTAGATCAATGTTCTGTCCACAGTGCCTTCTTATTGTGATTCCTGAGATAAGGAAATGTTGCAAGTAGATAAGTGAAAAATCTACTTAGTGTTAAAGGGTAAAATACATAGTCACCACCAATCTCAAGCTCAGTGACTCACTTTATTACTGCAACAATGAAAATGTGCTTCTTCATGAAATTTCCCATCTAAAAGTAAAGTGCAAGCAGAGGCAATACAGAGGGGCAAAGTTTTCAGTTTTGGAACTAGAAAGACCCGGGCTGACCGTCTCAGCTTTGCCATTGAATTGCTGAGTAATCTTAGGCTTTCAGGTTTTACTTTCCTCATCTGTAAAATGGAGTTAAAACAATACCCACCCCCTGGACTTTCGTCACTTAATTATTAAACAGAAAAAAATACGTGCCTGGCATAGTATAGGTACTTTAAAAATATTCATTAGCAGCATAATTGTTATTGGGATGCCAACTATTTTTAGATGGCAGGAATACAGACTGGTCACACAAAGTTGACCTAACCAACTGAAAATTCCACTTTAATTTAGTCCTTAGCTCTGTGCATGTTTTTTTTAATTTTAATTTGAGTCAAAATGCTAAACTCCAGTTTAATTTCTAAATAGATATAGCTTTACAGTGGAAATCTGCAATTTGGCAACAATAAACATTCTTTTCTTTTAACAAAAAAAATTAACTAAAATCAACAATAAAAATTCATAAAAAGATAATATGACAAATGCAGGTACTAAAGACATAAATTAAGAACTGCTCAGCTGGCATGTCTAGTCCTTTGCATTTTCTTTCTCCTTAAAAAATGTAGGTTGATCTAATTCTTTAAAAACCTGTTCTTAAATTCAAAGGTAATGACAGGAATATAGTTAGGGTCTTTTCATAGTATGCTGTCCTTTTTCTTTCTAAGAATCTACATGTGTGTGTATTCATTCATTCATTTTAAGACTTCTTAGTATCAATTCCAAAGCTGCCTACTGACCTTCCATATCTCTGGAAGAATGGCTAAAATTTTTGTTTTGTAGAATAATTTTAGATGGTGAAATCAACATATTGACTTTATGAAACTAAACTCTAACATTGTGAATATGAACTATTTCTTGGTATATCAGCTTTGCTACACTTACAAGGTTTTTAAATAGATAGTCATGGAGTCCAAGATGCTCTGTTGAAGTATGTCAGAAGTTGACAGGGTAAGGAGGCAGGCAAGGGAGTCTTTTAACCAGATCATTTCCACTGCTTATATGCATATATGAGAATTATATAGACTTTATGTGAAAAAAACTGGTTAGGTATCAAAGAGTTGACAACTAACCTAAACTGAAAATGTGAATCTTTAGAAATCAAATATATTTTTCCCATTTTACTCACTTTTTATCTGTGCTTATTCTTATTTATGCTTAAAAGAATTATATTGCCTTTCTATTTGTTTCTTTGAATTTGAATTCAATACTGTTAGCTTTAATATTATTGAGAGTATCTTTTAAATATACCTCAAAAATATCTGTAATTTTTAAGGAATATGTCATCTCTATCACATAAATGCAGACACCTATAAGATATGACATTTGAGGGCCTTGCAATTAAAGCACAAATGATAAGATACTAAGCATGTGTTTACCATGTAAATGGGTAGTGAGGTTGAACTATGTGTTCTCCATTAGCCACTACTTGTGATTTACTTATATAAGAGGGCTCTGAGATATTTAAAAGAATGAATTTTTTTATGCTGTAAGTTAAAAAATAAAGTCAAGTAAAAAGAGCCATCAGTCCTAGTGATAGTATTATTCGGAGCAAATAGAAACTGTGGCCCATAGACCAGAGTGCAAGAATAACAATCAATGGCAAATAAAGAAACAGATTCTCACTGTGACTTCCCCCCTTATAGTTGTGTATTTTTTCTAAGCACAGATTGATTTAAATTGCTACTTGTCGTTGACAAGAATTGTTGGTTCCAAGATAAACCTAGACTGTTGTTTCAAGAATGCGGTTCCTAATATTTTCTATTACTTTGGTGAAAAAAAAAGAAGGAATTTTTGGTAGTGTGTGAAGGTCTCTGTATTTTTATTGGCTACTTACATAGTCTCAAAAAAGATCCTTAATCCTTTAAAAATGACCCTATCAATTCATACGTTTAGCGTAATTTACCAACATTTCCAAACTCAGCATGGAAAAGCCATCAACATGGCACTAGGTCATGGGTTCTGAATGAAGCCGTCAGCAAGGATTAATAAACTGTGACAGCTGCCCAAAAGCTTTCATTCTTTTTATTTAAACATCAGATTGCAAACTGAAATCCAGTGTAATCTTTGCTGAAACTAGCCCAACTAACATGGAAGAAGTCAGAACTGAGAACAGATGACAGTAGTAGTTATTATTGTAAATTCAGTCCATAGCAATAAATTCTAGAATTCACATACGTAGCAGTTCCTAAAGATCTTGAGGAAGAGCATAAACTATTCCTACCTGTTTCAATAATTTCTAATAAGATTTCTGAACACTGTACTGATGAAACCAAAATGGTTTAGCTCCAATTTCTATGCTCAGTAAGTTGTTTAAAGCACTCTTCTACTACTAGCCCCTTTTCTCATACTGCAATTCAAGTGACTCTAGTTAGACTGTAGCGATCAAGTGTTTTGGGATCACATAATTTTCCTGGGAATTAGCTATCAGAAAAAAAAACAAACATATGAGTGAGCAGACTATATTTTATATATATATGATTTCTGTTGGACATTTTCTGTACAAATACAACTCATACATATACATAAAAGTGACCAAGCAAATAGTTATTTACTCTAATTTCCTAAACAGTGCATATTCACAGATAGAAAGTTATAACAATTAACTCATTAGAATAGGAATGTATTCTTTGCTTAAGTACATTTCAAATAATATGCACATCTTCCCTGTGGCTGAATAGCAACACCAAAAAAATTATCAAACAGCTGGTAAACGATGTGAGCTTACCCCCTTTTCAATATTCCCACTTTGACAGAGGGTTCCCTCAGCTGCAGGGATGCTATTGGTGACACAGCGGTTGCTTTTGCTGAGACACCAGAGCTCTCTACACACTTCCTAGGAAAGAAGGCAAAAGCAAGTTGATCAGTAGTAAAGACTGAAAATCATTTCCACTCTTCCAAAGAATATACCCACAGTCACTCAGCATTATTCATTTCTTGTGGACGCTGAATCATCAAAGGTAGGGATTTTGGAGGAGGCTCTCACGGAAGGTGGGTTACCCATTTTGCAGAACCATTTAAATGTTTGTCTTTATAATTTTCATTTCAGTGGAGAAAATATACCTTAGTTTTTAATATTGATTAAAATTTCTTAAAAGCAATGCACAGAAATTCCATTACTAGAGAAGAGTGGGGGAAAAGAATGAATACGTAAAAAGGAAATATATGTTTATTACTCTTAAGGACACACAATGAAACAAACCTACCAATTACTAATAGAGTGGTATAGGTATTTGACTTCTCAGATCTACTCTAATGTTCAAATAATGTCCATTTTAAGAAGAAAAAAGAGATCATAGACATGGGCAGAGAGTAATTTCTAAAATTCAGAGTTGCCTAAAGAACAATCTAGCAATGTTATTTACCATTCATCAATGTAGCCCACCAACTTCATGAAAGACAAGTTTGGTTTTGAGCAAATGTTGCTATTTATATGCCATTTCCATAGTTGGCATATTTTGGACATTGTTTAAAGCTGTTTTATCTTCTTTATTACAACTTCTCATTATCCTACTTCAACATGGGAAAATTACAAACATTTATTCTAAATTAGCTATATAAATTACCTTATTTTGTTCACACACTATCAGATTTTAAAATAAGCTGTTCAACATATACCCTACTGAAGTGTTTTAAATAACAGCCAAAAAAGCAGGCTTACTTTGAAGACACTCAAAATTTTCAGTTTCTCTCTACATATATATTACCAACTAGCATCATTAATGCTATTACAAGTTTTTAAGTTAAACTAGAACCACTGAATATAAAATACTTTATTGCAATAAAAATATATTAATTTGGAATGCAAAGAGGTTACAAAAAACATATTAAGAGGTTACAAAAGAAATTTATGCTCATTCCTGGATTATACTCTTGATCTTTGAGGATTTTTATTAGGCTTAAATATTAATTTAAACAGAAATAAAAGAAGACCAAACTTTACTATAGACAGAACTATACAATGAAAATTATATCACTGAAAAGTACAATATCCATAGTGTCTATTTGGTAAACATACCATTTAGACAAGTCACAGAAACTTTATTTCCAAAAGTACCTTGAAAATCTCTACCCAATCGGCAAGAATTCAAGATACTTTTTCCAAGAACTTTAATATCAAGATTTACAACAGAGCCATCTGAGAGATGGTCCTCTTACCCTTTACAGAATGGTGCACTTTGAAAAGTGGATTCCCCATTTTCATAGGATTTTATTTTTTTAGTGGTTTCTGGGGGTTCAATTTTTGTCAGGGCATTAGCTTCTCACAAATTACTGTTTAAAGTACGGGAATGAAAAATCTATGAATGGGAAATACTCCCAAGATATTAAACTAGTTTTGGAGAATGCTCAGGAGTTTTCAACTATGTTTCTAATCTAGCATATCAACTTGGATATGAAAGATTTTGATATCCCAACTAAGACTTCCAAAGATTAAAACAAAAACCTCTCTTGAAAGATAAAACCCAAGAAAATTTCATTTCATACCAAGAATGCCAGTAGTACACTTCCTGAAAGAACTTGAGAAAAATTTCACATCTTTAGAAATATCTTTCTCTAAACTGATGGATTTCAGAACATGGATGGCATATTTGCAGATATGTCAGTTACAATTGTACATGTCCATTAGTTGTTAAATAAGTAACCTAAGGTAGGTCCCAAGTTCTAATAAAGTTAAATGCATGCAAAATATCTTGCCTCTAGGGGAATGTGTATAAAAACTATCATCATAGGTAGATTAATTTCCCTTAAAAAATTACATATAAGGTGAGAGGGATTAATGATTTGCTTACCCACCCACTTAGCTCTAGGAGAATATGGTTACCTTTTACATACTCATGCTTATTTATAGAAGTTAACATATAAGAAGTTATAGAAGTTAAGATTAGTCTCATGACCTCTGTGAATTAATAAATCATTGCCTGTGCACTAGGGCAATTAATTCTCTTCTCTAACCCTACAATTCATTTTAGGAAGACTCTCTAGAAGAAATTTAGTCTTTGTGCTTGCCTTTGAGTTTAAGGAAAAAGAGAGAAGTTACCAATGGTCTCCACTAATGGAAATTTCTCTCACATGACACTAAAAGTTGCAAATGGCATCTCTAATTTCATGGGGTCAACTTCTAACCAATTAGGAAGATTGCCTAGTAAAACAAAAGCATTATTTCCCATTCACTCAAGAATATATGTTAAGCATCTACTATTAACCTCACCAGGCATTATGTTAGTGTTATTAAAAACTAACATTATCACTTAGAATTTATAGAAACCAGGAGAAGGTAGGGTATAAGCCGACATGAAACCCAATGCCATGAATTGGTACTGCTCTTTGATAAAGTTTTTAATATTCTGTGACAGAATTAGAAGAATGATGTCAATGTGTTTTTTATGAAACTAAATGTTTTATTTTAATGGACTTATTCATTAAGTGTTATTCTTTTTAAATAGACCATAAGATTTTTCAGGGTAAGGTTTGTTTGCTTATGGCAGTCTTTATAGATAGAATGTTTCCATTTGGCAAAATTATAAGTTGGCTTCCCTGTGTTGATCCACTAATTTTTGGAGAGACATTTTCTTGCCTACAGAAATCTAAAAGTTTGTGAACGATTCATTGACCAAAACTTGATAATCAATGTCTCTTTTTCTTTTTGACATACATCCTTTAGTAGTTAGTTTAGCAAAGGAACTCTTGTTCTTAGTGGTTGAAAATATACTTATTTTGCCCTCATTTTACAAATATTTTAATTGATTATAGAATTCTAGGCTGAAGGTAGTTAGTGCCTTGTTATCTGGACTTCATGGAGGTTGATCAAAAGTCACCTGTCAAATTGCTGTATCTTTATAATAAAGCCTTTCTAGTTGCTTTCATGAGTTCTGTCTTTGCTTTAGTGTAGTTTCAACATTGTATCTAAGTGTTCTTTTTATTTGTCTACTTGGGATTCATGCTTTAAGAATTTGCATCTCTTTTGGATTCTGAAAAATTATTAGTAATTGTCTCTTTTAAAATACCTCTTCCTCATTCTTTCTTCTGGAACTCCTATTCAACTTATATTGGACCTTTTCATTCAAACCACCATATCTTTAACCTTTTTCATATCTTCCATATCTTTTTCTCTTGGGGTGGTAATCTTTTTTTTTTTAAGATTTTTAAAAAGATTTTTATTCATTTATCTTTAGAGGGGAAAGGAAGGAGAGAGGAAGAGAAATATCAATGTATAGTTGCTTGTTGTGTGTCCCCTGCTGGGAACTGGCCTGCAACCCAGGCATGTGCCCTGACTGGGAATCGAACTGCAATCCCTTAGTTCGCAGGCCCACACTCAATCCACTGAACTACACCAGCCAGGGCAGGGGTGGTAATCTTTATGCTTGTTGATTTCATGGCGGATTGTTTCCTCTAATGGTTCATTATTTTGTATTCAAGCTTATCCTCAGTAAATACTGATTTTTTTGCAGCATCCTGGACCTCCTGAGTTGTAGAAGTGTAGGCTCATGAATTTGTTTCTGCTGTACACTCCAAGGTTTCACTGAATCAGTTTGCATGTTGATTTATCTTGTCAGCACATGAATGTAGACAAAGTCTTACTCTGTTCTGTGAGGCACAACCTTAGGGCTTCTGTTTCCCATGGGAGCTATTTTTCCCCATCCAGAGCAAAGGGCAAAGAAGTTTACTTGTCACTTCCATTCAGTTGTGTCTTCACAGTAGAAGTGACACTTCTAAAGCTCTAATTTTATGAACTGGTCTCAGTTCCAGTTTACTAACTCATGCCCAAGATGATCTTCTCTTATCCCAACACAGGCAACATCAGCGCACCAGCTTACCACCTGAACAGAAACTCTTCATTTCTGACACACCCTTACCTCCCTTTTTTTGGTTTTGATATATATAAGTTTTCTGCTGAAAGGTGATATAAATGCACTCTGTAAAACTCCCTGCATCCTGTAAATCATTTATGAACAACATAGGGTTTATGGAGGAAAAAAAGAGTTAGAAGAGGCCACTGAAAACCTATGCATCTCTGTAGCCAATAGACAAAAACATAGTTGAACAACAATAAAATTTAAAAATGAAAAAAAAAACCCATTTATAATACATGTTAAACATTTCGACAGTTAAATCTCTGCTGGCATTTGTTCCCAGCATCCCAAGGAGTTGCTCTTTTATAGTCTTAATACTGTGGCTTAGATTCTGAATCTAATCCTTAAAATTAAGAATTAGATTCAGAATATAGCTTCTTTTTATTGCACCTATATGTATACATCATATAGCTTTGGCATCAATGTACACAGCATCAGCATCATCATCATTATTATTTTTATTATTGGAATTTCTAAATGTAATGTCAACACTTGTATTTAGATTTTCAAAAGATACTGTACATACTCCTCAAAAATACTCCAAAAGACAAGGCATTGAAAATTTTCCTATTATTTAAAATTTTAATGTCATGTCCCAGATATTTAGTCTGTTCTATTTTTCAGATAAATATCACTGACTGCAAACATTAACAATAAAAATTATTAGCAAATATAAATCATAATAGGAATACATGTAGAAAGTGGAGTCTTCAGGTAATTGTAATTATCTAATATAAAACAATTTACCTGATATTCAAAACATAATTCTGCAAAGAACTGAACTAGAACTGAACTAGGGCTCCTCTGATCAGAATAGAATAATTGATTATTTTATAGTAAAAGGCCATTTCAAAACAATAAAAGAAATTAGAATTATCTTCTCTAATATTTCCATCCTTTTCAAGTAACTATAGCTGTTAAATGATATTATAAAGTGGGAAGAAAATCCCTTTGTTTTATCAATACTTGGAAAAACTAAAACAAG